CGTTAAGTCTGAGATAAGAAATTTTCGCAGTGAATATGCTCCATATTGTCTGGTAATGTGTTAAGTTTAAATAAATTTTGACACCTGGTGGTCATATTAAAATAAAAAAATCTTATTGATTACTTTTGAGTCATGGATCAACACTGATAAGAGAGGGCAAAATAAACAAAAAAGTAATAATAAAATACTGATCGTCAATGTTATTATCTTTCTGCACTTCGAAATAAATATCTTCCTCTTCGTATGGCTTAATAGAAGTATTCATCAGAGTTATAGAAATGAATGAAAAATTTAAATATATATATACACTTAGCAGAAAAACTCTGCGTACAAAAAGTAAATTTTGTTTCAACATATAAAAAATTATTATATAAATAAATTTTTTAAATCAATTTTATTTTTTGTTTGTAGTTTAATTCGTTGACTTTATTTTAAGCTAAAACTTATTTCTAACACATTAGTAGAAAAATTATAATAATTAAAAATGTAAAAAATCAGCGCTATCGGTGGCAGAAAAAGTCTGCGTACAAAACATATAAAGGGGAATTCCCGAAGCTTTAATAGTAGAACTTTGGCGTGCTTTATGTTTTACTGTACCAGAATATCATTATACACAATCCCACGCACTTATTTTATAATTTAATGATTAAAAAGTAATTAAATTTTTAATTACAAATAAAGGAAAAGAAATTATTATCAGTGAGAGCAGTATTATTATTGATCTATGGAAAAAAAGGAAAATGTATCGCAAAATTGGTCAAATCGTTAAGCGGTCACTTTCTTTTATCCAAAGAGTAGTGAACAACTACAACTAAATAGAATTATTGACCTCGAAGTTGGGATCTGGGCGTCCATCCAAGCTGTCAACAAGAGAAACCCGCAGCATTATTAATTCAGTGAAAGATAATCCTCGTCTAACTGAACTTCTGTTATAGAAATATATTGACCAGACATTCCAGAAGCAAATTCACGTGGATACTGTACACAAAATATTAAAAAAATACCACTACCATGGTCGGTTTGCACGAAGCAAGCCGCTTATCTCCAAAGCTATTAGAATGAAGCATTTAGCATTCGCAAGGGAGTATTTAAATGTCTCCAGAATATTGAAACGCATAATTTTTTCAGACGAAAGCAAATTTTGTCTCTTTAGCATTAAAGGTCAAACGATTATATGGTGAATTTCGGGTACTGCCCTTAATAATGAAGATTTGTATTCAACAATAAAACACAGTAGTGGTGGAGTAATAGTGCGGGGGTGTATGGCGAGTAATAGAGTGAGAAAAATGGAATTCATTGAGTCGATAATGAATAAAGATGATCATTTAAATGTTTTAAAATGCAATTTAAAGAGCAGTGCCAAGAAGTTGGGGTTACAGAACAATTACTTACTTCAACAAGATAACGACCCAAAGCACACGGCAGAAGTTGTAAAGCTTTGGTTGCTTTAAAATGTGCCCAAGCAAATCAAAATGTCATCATAATCGCCATATTTGAATCCTATAGAACATTTATAGGATTTGCTGGTGCGTCGGGTACATAAATACAATATAACCTCCAAAGAAATGCTGAAGAACGTGAGCGACGCGGAATGGGGTAAAATAAGCAGTAATGAGACTGCGAAGCTGGTCAATTCGATACCAAAACGACTTATGAAGTTCGTAAAAAGGAAAGGTTATCCAACAAGTTACTGAAAATATAAAATCTTTTTAAAAATAATATATTTTGACGCTTTTTAAACTCTTGTACGCAGACTTTTTCTGCCACCGAAAGCGCTGATTTTTTACATTTTTAATTATTATAATTTTTCTACTAATCTGTTAGAAATAATTTTTACCTTAAAATGAAGATAACAAAAGTACTAACCAAAAATAAAATTAATTTAAAAAATTTATTTATTTAGTAATTTTTTATATGTTGAAACAAAATTTACTTTCTGTACGCAGAGTTTTTCTGCTAAGTGTATATTAATATAATTTTGTTTTTATGTATATAATATTTGATACAATATAGTCAAACTTCTGTATTTCGAACTTCTATAACTCGAATTTTCTATAATTCGAACCAAAAACAGTGTACCAAGGTTTTAAAGAGCAATTTACACACAATTCTGTTTCCATAACTCGAACTTCTATAACTCAAATTTCTCTATAACTCGAACAAAAATTTTGTTATGTGGCGATAGGAATATGGGAAAACTGCATTCTATTGGTCGAATTTTTGTTTTAGGGGAAATCCCTTTTTCTAAACCAAATATTTAATTTTTTCTTTATTATCTTGCTTCTTTGTGCAAATATCAGTCACTGCCAGCGTGGTTTAAAGTAAATAAATTAACTTCCAGTGCTACTCTAAACGATTATATTGAGCTTGACAATGAAATTTGTACATCAAGCTTTCCTTCAGATGACGATATTATTGAGCACTATAGCTCTAAATGACTGGATCCAATTCTAAGTGGAACGGAAAGTGATGATAAGGGTTTGATGGATGTAATTGTTCATCAACCTTCCAAGAATGAAGTAGAAGACTCATTCAAAATTTTAAATTTATATTTGCAAACGAATGATACTACAACAGATAATCACTATAAGACTATGAATAAAGTGAAATCTCTTTTTACTGAAAATAAGAAAAAAATTAAAGTCCCAAACCCTAATTTCTAAATATTTTACTTTACTATAAGTTCTGTGCTTAATTTGATTGCAAAGAAATAAATATCTTAAAATGTAATTCTAGTTTCTTCCAAAAATAAAAAAAAAAGAAAAATAGAAAAAAAAAATTCTCTCCATAAGTTGAACCTTTTTTTTGCAAAATTGGAC